GTAGTGTTAGGGGTTTTGAATGCGACATGCAACTAAGCAAAAAAACACAGGACACATGCATGCATTTCTGTATTACAGATTTCTGAGAAAATAGTAGGATAATGTAAATGTTTTAAGTTAAATATGGGCATCTGGTTCTTCTGCAGAAGTTTTTAAATCTTTTAAAATTTACTCCAAAAGTTATGGGGAAGTGGGGGAATTTTATGCTGTGATGCTGAAAGTCATTCCCCTGTGTAATGCTACGGGAAGCACCACTAGCTGTGGCTGTGCCCTCTGAGATGGGTTGTTTCCCCACTGGTGCTCAGGGAGCAGCCTCAGCCCTGCTTGTCCCACATTCCTGTTTCTGGGGGATGGGTGAGGGCTATGCTGTGGCTCAGTGTTCCCTGCAGGATGACCCCACTGATGCCTCCCATAGTGGCACAGGGAGCGTGGGTGTGGGTGCTCCTTTTTGGGGAGCGGGAGGTTTGCGGGCCCCTGTGACGAGCCACTGCAGCATCTGCACTCCCCACACTGCAGCGGGGTCCAGCCATCCCCATCAGGCTGCACTACCCAGGGTGTGTAAGGGGCAGCCAGCCTCCCCCAAGGCTCCTGTTCCCACAGCTGTCAGTCTCTAGCCTGCTCCTTCAGTTACCCCTCTCTGGTTTCTCAGGTTTACAGATCTGCTTTTGGTCTCTGAGTGAGCAATTGCCACCCCTTTCCTAACCCCATATCCTGGCTGGCAGTAGGAATATGCACTCCACTTAAATTCCCCGAACAAAATAGAAATGGAAAGTCTTGGGTTTAGTTGAAAAGAACAGCGAATTCTGCTTGCAATCTGTAATTCAGTTAGTGTTATTTGACTTGGCAGCCGTCGGAGGGCCTGCGTGGGCTGTAGGCTGTGAGGGCCTGAAGTCAGCCTTCATCTAGGAAGAGGACTTTGGAGGAACTCTCAGTAATTTTTACTGAAGTCTCTCAGTGGTTTCTCTCCCCCATATCCTCTTCCCTCCACCCTCAATATTCAGATGCTGCAGCCAGTCCTTTCCAGCTGGGAAGGGGCGAAGTCAGCTGGTCCTCCAGCCACTGCCCCGCTCTGCTCCCCCACCAGCCCCCCTGTGTGTCTGCGACCCCCTTGCCCGGCCAAAGGAAAATAATTCTGGGTCAGAACTCACTGAGCCATCTGTGTTTCTGAGGCTAAATTATTTCTTACAAAGGAAATAGCATTAGGTCGGTGTATCTGGCTGCTAATTGCTTTAACTGGCTGAAAAGATTTCAGTCTGTTCCTGAACTGTTTGTGCAAACTTAACGGAATAGTGTTACCTTCAGATCCTGCCCCAGCCACAGCCAGAACATATAAACAAGACTTCTGGTACGAAAAGCAGCACAAAGTTTCAAGCTATGCTAGCAGAGGTTATGAGAGACAGGAAGTTATGGGCAAATTGATTTCACCACTGGGAAACTTGGGATTTTTTTGCCCCCCCCACAAAGTAATGACTGTAAAGCATGCTAATGCTATTCAACATTAGTGCATTAAAGTGTGGCCTTATTAATTCAAGGCATAAAGGCAACAAAATAAGCTGTTAAATTTAAAATATAATACATATATAATGAGAAAAAAAATGTGTGAAAGCTTTATTCAAATGAAAATGCAGAATTGTTTGAGCTAGTGAAGTATCTTTTGTGCTGAGTTTTGAGCATATGTAATAGATTTAATTATTAATTTCTCCATTGTTCTATGCACACAGACAGGGTTCAAGGCACAGTCATTCTCTGGCTTTCATGGATCTAATTTGTATAATTATTGTCTGAATAAAGAACTACTCTGATACCAAGCTCACTTTTTTCCTCTCCTAAGTACTACATCACTGCTGCTTTCCAAAAGGAGAGCACCTGCCAATTCTTCAGGAATCAGCTGATCACTTCCAGTGATGAGACACGCTCCCAGTGATGTTCCTTTTCAAGCCTTTTTGTCTAAATGAATTATTGTGCATACTTTTTAATTTTATTGAACAAATTAGATTTGTCAAGGTCTAGCTTTGTAAATAAATAGCTAGAGACACATGGATGCATATTGCTGCTGTTCAAGGTCTCCCGTTCTATTTATGGAAGCCAGATGAGAAACAAAAGAGAAACTTTTCTCTAAAAGCAATTATCTTTCTGCATTCCCATCAGTATAATTATATTGCAGGGAATTTTAAGGAGTCATACAAGTAGAATTGAATACTTAAAATCATGACTGGATAGTTATACAAAAGCTGAGTGGAGCATCTCACCTTGTGCTAACTAAACATGCTGTGGCTGGCTGTTCTCTTACACCTTTACAGATGACATGTTTGTAGGTATTAATCAGAAAATAAGAATGTGACATCCATGATATACATGAAAAGTTTTCATTGACTTTGGAGATACATTGTGTTGTTAAAACAGGGCATCTTTGTTTATGGAAAGGTCTTCCCAGATGATAAAAGGAATAAGGCCCAAGAACACATAGCAAGGTCCAGACTGTGTTGGTAGAGGGGACTGGTAAAAATCATTATGTTGACTGTGCTTAAAGATGAACTTTTTAGGAAGCTGCAGTACTGGCACATGGTTTGTAAAAGTCACATCATTCTGGATGTGACTGTGTCTGTGTAGACAATGTTTGCCAGGGGAGTACTTTTTTTTTTTTGCCATTATCAAATTTTTGGATCTTGTCTTAATAATATAGTTATCTTTCTCCTTTAATTTATTAGGAAAATGCTGTCATACCACCAAAATAAAAATTATGGGAGTGTTCTATAGGTTTTTTGACACTCCTGTTAGAGCAGAAAGCTCAGCAAGAGCAGCTAGAGGGGTACTTCTTGAGGAGAAGTACCAGCCTAAAAAAACCCCTCAGATAAAATCCTTCTTCTAAAGCAAAGAAAAGGGGATTCCTGCAGGAGGGATCTGCTACACCACAGTTCATCTGTCACCTGTCTTTGCAAGGAGGTGCTATGGAGAGGTGAGGACATGATAGTGCAATTAAAAACCATTAGACAGTCCTTGTATGAGGAAGTGAAATAAAAGTGGCATGGGATAAATACATGATATTTCCAGATTTGAATGTGTAACCTATATATTTAAGTGTATATTTTTATTTAATACTAGAAGTAGTTAGATGTATTCTTTCCAGATAGATTTTTCCCCTTATATCCCTCCACTCTTGAAGTGTCCAGGGTTGCTGGCTTTTTCCTTTGCTCTGCCACCCCTTTTTCCCTCTTCCAGGCTTTTTTATGTCAAACAGAACCATGTAAATTAAACATTTAAAACCCAGTTATGAAGAAATTATATATTTAACCTGACCTTGGCGAACAGCTTTAGCAAGTCTGGAAATGTTTGTAGCTGCCTGTGCCATGGCAGATGGCTGCACAAAGCTGCACACCGAGAGGTGCCCACCCCACAAGGGCCAGCTCCGTGCTGCACACCCACAGCAGCTCCAGCCCAATGTTTTCTTTTCTGTGAAAGCCATTTTGACTGCCATGTGTTTGCATTTATTTCCTTTCCGGCTCTGTACATGACTCATCTGCAGCAGGACGGAGGAGCCAGGGAAGACTGGACTGCCCAGGAGCTGCTTTCCTTATTCACCAGCCCTGTTTTGGGCAGCTTTCTGGAAGACAATCCCATGGAGAGGAGCAGTTCTCCAGGCTGCAGGAATTAACTTGCTGTGCTTGTGTCAGCTGGGCTCAGTGTTGCTTTGCAAAGCAGGTATGCAAGGGCTCTCATACCCTTCCCATACAAGAGACAAAGATGCTTTTCCCTCTGTTAAGTGATGGAGTCAGCTTTAATTTTTGAACATTGCCATTCTCTATAGGTTACCCACTAAGGATCCTGCCGCAGGCCTGACACTCCTAGGTTTTAGTTCAATCCAAACCTAATCTTTTCTTCTTTTTCCAGAAGTCGTATTGGCACCAGAGTTTTCTTGCATTTGGCCATAGGCAGGGTTGCAGTAAATGGTTTCCTTTCTCTTCTGTCTGAGACCCTGTGCCAGGGCAGAAGGTATGTTTACAAGAGGATTCCTCTTGGGAAAGACTCTTACTTTTTAGAGGTGCAATACTTGAACCATGATGGTATTTTAACCGACTTGTTTTTTAGTAAATTCTCTTCCCTTGTCCAATAATCTGAAAATCTGTTACCAATCAAAATATGATACGTATCCTCAGCCAGTTTCAATGGGGTTTATTTCTATTACATCTGGCAGTGTGTCCAGAAGGGGAGAAAAAAAACTCAGCCAGAATTAGCTGCACTCAAATCAGCTGAATTTTGGATGTGTTCAACCTTTTTGGCCAGACTCATTCCGGTTCATGAGAAGTAATTATCTCTTGAGTATCACATTAATATTAAAGATCCATAGGCATTACTGTTTAGGCAATATACCTCCTTCCCAGCTCCAAAAAAATGATGTGGGATAATTGATCTGAACATGCTCCAAATGTGCATATGTCTTTATTTATGAATTCCAATGTGGATTGTTTGGGAGGATAAGATGGAAAAAGGAAAAGCAGAAAAAAACGTTGAGACCTCTTCATCTCCCTGGCCATTTCTGTTTGGAGTAGTTATAATATGCTGAAAATGAGTTGTAAAAGCTAACAGTATGCAAATAGCATATGTTACAAATACTAAATCCCTTCAACTGGCACTTGTGATTTACACCTTTCTCTGTTTCTTAGATCAGGAAATTAATGGTAAATGCAGTTTGTGTCTGCCTGCAGCCAGGCCAGTAACTGCAGAGCCAGGTTTGGGCACTGATGGATCTACTTCCTAAGGATGGTATGAAATTGCACCCCAGCTTGTGCCTGCTGAAGGAAAAATTTCCCCTGAAGTAACCAAAATACTGTCTCCTTCAGGTTATCCATCAGCTGACATGCATCTAGTCCCAGACATGGAGGTGATGCTGGCTGTGCCACGTCCCAGGACGTGGTGGCCTCAGGTGTTCAGGCGCTGCTTGCAGGGAGTGTTGGCCAGGCCCCGTGCAGGTGGCTGTGCTGCTGGCTGAGCGCTGGCCTCAAGCCCCTGAGCACCCCCAGGCTGACACACTCCCCTGCCTTCCATTGTGTCTGTGACACCTGGGCCTGTGCTCAGGTGTGCTGCTTATGGGTACATAGCTGGTATTGCATCGCTCAACCTTCCACTGGAAGAAAATTTGATTATTCCACTCTAGCCAGCAATGTCATTACATGAAATGGAAGGGGAACCTTTCCCTTACTAAATTCTTTAGTGTGTTCAGCTTCTCTTGGTGGGGGAAAACAAGTCTATAAAAGTGCCACTAGCTTGTTTTAACTTCTGTATGTGCACCTTCACGCCCTGGAGAGGGGTATCAGACACAGCCTGACTGCCCGAGCAGTTGCGGACTGGCCCAATTTCCTGCAGAGTGCTGCGAAGGCCGTAGATATCAACTTCAAAGGTAAACAATTACCTTTTATTATCACACATGGCTTTAGCTCTACCAGTTTCAAATAGCACATAATCACAAGTCTGTGATAACATTTACTCCTGATGAGAGAAAATTCACCAAGTACTAAATTGCTGCTGAGATGACGGGAACATGAGCCAGGCACGAATTAACTGCTATGATGAGTCAGCAGACGTTAATGTCTTGCACCATGCTGGAGACATCTGCTGAGCCGTCCACTGTTGAATCATCTTAAATATTTCTGTGTTATTACCCCTCCAGGAGCAAGCATCAGAGAACTTTTGTGCCTCTGTGTTATATATGCATAAGCTATTTTAAAATAAATATATGCAGGCACATAACAAGTGTATGCATTTAGGTATGTAGGTAATTTTCAGCTAAGGGAAGGATGAGCAAGTAGCAACTATTTAAAGTAAAACATGCATGGAAATGCTGATAGCAATTGCCCACATTTGGTGTTTGAAAAGTGATAGCTTTGCTTCGTCGTGGGTCTAATGAGCCTGGGAGGGTGACCTCATGTCTGCACCACACACCCTGAACCTTCCTGCAGACCAGCCTGTCCAAGTTCTCAAAGTAGGAATTATAAGTTTCTAAGGGCTCTCCCCATATTTTGAAAATTAATCCCTCCAGAACAGCTGCAGGGTGCTGTGCTTAAGCATATCATCACTTTGTCTTTTCCCAGTTTTTTTCCCATGTACCCAGAATGTCAATATGTGGTTAGATAAATGTAGTAACTAGGCACTATGAAAAGCATCAGATAAATCCAGCAGAGAGTTTCAAATGCCCTCTTAAATGAGATCCTTTTTCACTGAAGGCCCTGCAACTGTCACATAATGCACTGTCCTCCTGCAGTGGATCTTCAGCACATGCTAAAGACAGTGGTGCATTACTGGGGGTGCCAGAGGACTGTACTTTGGACAATGTAATCATTGCACAAAGGAAGAGGGAGACCTTTTATTTGGTAAATCCTTTGTTGCATTCAGCTTAACTCACTGCAACAAAACAACTCACACTTTTTAAACTCAGAGTGTTTTAAAGTACATTGTCTGTTCTGTCCTTAATTTAAACTTTTGCATACATAATTGCCCGATTGTATGCACATGAGAACTGTAGTAATTCAGTGCACATTGTGCAAAGCTGCATTTTTTGAAACTCCGACTCTCTGAGGTCTGGAGGTCAAAAGTTAATTCTAGTGAGATGTGAGAGTTCTCCATGTTTGCCAAAAAAAATTGTTATTTCAAGCATTCTGCAGTCTGAGTGTCACCGTTCCAACTTGTATTTTTAAGGTTTCCCACCCCCTGAATTTTCATATGCAATTGAAGAAAAATACCATCTAACCCACTGAATGTTTTGGGAAGCAGAGTGAGAGCAGGCTTGGCTGTTGCAGAGGGGACATGGAAAGCAAAGGCTGACAGTGGAAGTGGTGCCTCACAGTGTGGCTGTGGGGCAGTGGGACCAGACAGCCACATGGTGCCCATCCTCCCTCTTCTGGTCTCCTCCTCGCTGCTGCTGATTCCAGGCTTATCCCTCACTCAGGTAAGCCCATGGCTGGCTGCCATCTGATGGAGGTGCTCAGAGACCTTGTCCCCCTCTTCTTGGGGCTTGAGATGGCTGCAGGTGCCTGCTGGTTCCCACTCATGGGCCAGAGGACATCAGGTCTTCTGAACTGATTCATTGCTAGATGCTTAAAATAGCCCAAAGGAAATGACATGAACATCCCCTGCATGCTTGGTTTTGCATTCAAACACTACTTTTTCCAAAAATTAGCTCTAACCATTTGTCTTGAAGTGCCCTAAACTAACAACTTAGTATTTAATGAACATTAAGGGGAAATTAAATTAATCTAAACAGTAGCTAGATTTCAGACTTCTCAGTAGTGGCTGCACAAAAGTAAGGCAGTGTTTTTAGAGCAAATAAGAAATCCATCCTTTGGGGATTAGTTTACAGTCCTCCAGAATTTTCCATGAGGTTAATAACCAAGTGAAATGTCCTGGCAGGAATGATCACATTCTACTACTGCCTGGTCATTACAGTGGTACATCAGGAGATTTCAAGTCACAGGATTTTTCTGCTACTGTGGAAGACAATGTGTCTCCATATTCAGTTGAAAAGCTTTCTCCCATTTTGCTTTGCATACTGAACTTCTTGGGCACAGTACATTAACTCTTCTTGAAGTACAAAATGGAGAATAGAACTGCCAGAACATTTTTGTCAATGGTTTCCAAAAACTATGGAATTTCCTGCCCAGCTACATCAGATCAGCCAACAACTTTGTAATTGCTAAAAACAGCCTGTTGATTTTCCTCCCAAGTGTTTCAGCTGGCCTGGCTGAGCGTTCTCTTTTCCACTGTCTTGAGATGTTTCTCTCATTGTGCACTGTACTGTATTTTTATGGTCAACATATCCTCTAGCAAACAATTTCAGGCTGATGGCGGAAGGGAGATTGGATTCAGGTTAGAGATTTGAGCCTGGAACAGGGAGCCAGGAATGCTTCAGTTCCTGAATCAGATCTGCCACTAAATCAGGAATCCACATAAAGCAAAGCCACATGATGAGCAATTGTATGTTGATTAGATTTTCTGTGCAGAGGAGGAAGTGAGCCTTTGAATGCAGTTCTCTCCTTGGCATGCCTGCTGCAACTGAAGCTGTGGCTACAGGTGGCCCAGGAGTGGGGGGCATGGAGCAGGTTCTTTCCAAAGAGAGGCAGGGATTGGTGAGGCTGCTGCCTAACTGGGGACCAGAAGTTTTCACCAGAGCGGTACTTGGACTGACATCGCAGTGGTAAATGCAAATAAATTAGTTAAGTACGCCTGCATGAAATTTTCCTGCTGAAAAACTCATTCTATAAAAGCATTTATACTGTATTCTTTATTGTCAGCTAATCCAGCCCAAACTCATTAAATGGCAGTGTGTGGGTTACTCGCTGTCAGGGAAATTATCAAAGGCATTTTTCAGCTGATGCACTGGGAAAGCATGTGCTTCAATGCCAACTAAAACAATAACGAGGAAATGTTATGATCAGACTTGACCAAATGACCTTTCCCATTTTAGATTAGTTCTTAATTTCAGCACAAGGGTCATCCTGTGAGAATAGTTACAATAAGTCACTGCTCACCTCTCACATGAAAAAGAAGTGACTTATTAGAAATCTCACTGTACTCATTGCAGTTAATGAGATGTGGAAAGCTTTATAATTTGATTTGCTGGACCATATGCTGTAAAGGGATACTGCTGATTTCATTCCTCCACATTTAATTTAAGCAGTATGCAATGGCTTCTTCGTATGGCTACTTATATAATAAAAATTAACTCGGAGTATAAAAAAAATAGACCATTGTGGGGTTTATTACTCTATGTGGTTGAGTTTCAAGTGTTTTTCATTGAAACATCTGTAAGTAATGTGTAGGTCTAATTTTAAATCCTGGCAAATATTTTCCATTTAACATTTGGTTTTACTGACAGACTTGGAGTGGTGGTTTTCAAAGCTTGTCAGTAACAGATACGTATTTTCAAAGATAAACAGTTTTTTAATTGAAGATAACTGTAACCCAATACCTGCTTTTCCTACCCCTCTTGTATTTTAGTGGTTACAAGCAGCAGCACAGACATTCATCCCCCGTCCCCCAGACCCTGGCCATGGCAGCAGCCCTGTGATGGTGCGGGCTGTCCCTCATGGGCCATCCCAGGGATGTGAAGCCACCTCGGGCCACGCAGCATCCGGAGAGCGAGTGGGGCCCCAGGCACAGGCTCACCAGCCCAAGGGACCAGGTGGCATTCATGAACCCCCTAAGACTGTCTCTTTCAGAGATGCCCCCTTAGGTATTCTGCAGGAAAAGTTACACCCTGGAGGGTGGATTTGGGCTCCAGGTGGGGCTTGGCCACCCGCCGCCACTCAGCAGCACGTGCTCTGCTCTCAGGGCCAAGTATGCTCTCTAGCACCGCGGTGTCTCACCGTCACAACTTTACTCCAGGTTATTTGAGTTTCGGCTGCAGACAAAATGAAACAGCTCGAGCAGGCAGGCTGGCTGCATGGCCCATAAAAGTGGAAACCGTGCTGCCTTGTCAGTGGGTATCACCTGGCCTGGCGGGGCTTGTGCTCCTGATGCTTCCTGTGAGAGCCAGGGCCATGGCTGGGCTAAAGATGGTGGTGGAAATACCCAGTGTGAGGCAATGAGAGGTCATTTTGGAAGCAAATGTTAAGATCATTTTCAAAAAGAAGTCCTGAAAGGCTAGAAATGTGGGGGAGTCACTGCTTTCACCTGAAAAATATGCCACAGCATTATTTGCAATTAGTGCCACAATGTCCACAATCTCTAAATACAAAGACTGTGTGTGCTTTAATCTAACCTATTGGTAAAACTTGAGATCGGGCCAAGAAATCTTGTGTATTTGCTGCCTAGAGGCTGGCCATGGCCCTGCAGCATGGCAGAGCTCCATCCACCATGGAAACACCATTTTTTGAGGTGCTGGGTAGAGGGACAGCACTTATTTGTGTCCCCCTACTCCGTCACTCCCTCTCTCTACTTTCTACTGTTTCCTCACCATAATTTTACAAACAAGTTTAATCCTGCTTTCAGTGAGAAGTAATAATAATAATAATGCATTATTCCCTTCACACACAGGCTGTTGTCATACTGAACTCCGAACTGCAGCAGCAGAAAATGGGATTTTGGTGCAGGGGCATTAGCCATGGTATGGGTCCATGGTGTGGCATGCTGGTGGGAGGCCAGTGAGGGGCACTGCAGCAGCCAGCAGGAGCACAGGGATCTCCAGGCTCCTGCAGCCCTGTGCTGAGCCTCCAGGAAAAAGCATGTTACCTAATGTAACAGCTTTTCATTTAGAGAGAAAAACATGTCTTTCCTACCAAAGACAACCCATTTCATTTAATTTGGAAACTGCCTTTAATGCTTTGTGATGGTCTGTGGTGTGGGTTCTGCAGCTGAACTGAAGATGTGGGCTTGAGCCAGCCCTCTGTGCCTCCTGGGTCTGAGTCTTCTTGGTGGAGACCCTGACAGGGATCGAATCGCAGGCCCTTCATGAGTTGACCTCCACATTAAAAAAATAATCACAAAACCAGGTTTCAATTTTAACACGTCCCTGTTTTCTTTCATCAGAAGTTCTGAAATGCTTCTGAGGAGGCTGGTGATAGCCATAATCTCAGCCACAGTGATTTCTCATAAACATTGAGAGAAACTGCAGCTTTACTGAATATAGCGTCTGTTTTAAATGGCTGGTAGTTCACTTGGTTTTAATATGAGTACAAGCACAGAGGCAAGTAAAATCTAATGAAAGTGCTTAGAAGATTTTGTTTGGAATACCCCACAGCAGCCATGGTTTATACTGAAAGGGAAAAGATTTCTTTATAGGCAGGTCTGCAGAAGCCAGAAATTTAATTTTGCTCTGCAACTTATTTTATTGCATTTTTAATTTTCTCTTGCATTACCCTGACCCTTTTCTATAGCTTTTGACGCCTGGTGCTTAATTACTTATCATTAGCAATGTACATGGGGGCCTTCCTGCATATTTATAAATGTGATCATTAGTACATGGGAAGACAAAGACTTCTTTAAGACCATCATTAGTTATTCTGTTTTCATAGAAATGTTCATTAGAGAAACTACCCACCTGGTTAAATAATTATAATTAAGAATTGGTAATCTCCTTTGCATTTTTAACTTGATCTTCAGGATGCGTGTGCATAGCTAAAGGAGCCTTGTTTGGATATCTTACTATCTTTTGTTTTTGATTTGAATTGTCAAGCAGATTTAAATTATGTGTTTTGGAATTGTGCACCCTATAGAATGATTCATGGAAAGATAGGTTATTAAAAAAGAAAAAAAAAAGCAGAAAGAAAGAAATCAAGCCTGCAATTATCTCTGAATTCATTAACTGTGCACTGGCAGCAAGAGGTTGTGTAAGCCATTTACTGTAATGCACAGTATGGAGTTAAAACAAAATGTCACTGGAGCCTGATTTCCCTTTCTTATCTATGGTACTCACTGCAGACACACAGACTGCGGGAGAAAGGTGTCATTTCCATGTCAGGCTCTGGTGTTACTGGGGAATGCCGACAATAACTGCGATGGTGTCAGTAGTCCTGCCCCCAGCCATTGTGGGGAGCTGCTGGGAAACCTGTCCAAAATGTGTGTGCCTGCCCATCTGCTGTGCCTGTGGGGAAGGGACAGCATTGCCCCACCATGCCCACCGTGGGGCACAGGGAGGGCTCACCTCTCAGACACCAAGGCTATAGGAAGAGCTTGTCAGTGGCATAAATATCATCTGTAAACAATTAAGCAGCTACTGCTCATTCAGGGCAGTTCTGAGAAGCAAAGGAAGTCTGCAATCAGTTATATCTCCAATTACCATAAAAATATATTAGCCATTCATTCATTTATTAATGATTCATCAGTTAACCACACATAATGAGCAAATAATTAGCAATGCTGTACGGTTGCCAAAATTGAAGAAGTGTTGGCATTTTAAAGATGAAAGGTTGCATTTATGTAAAAAGTCGGATGGTGATAAAGTTAATACAGAAGATAATTATAAAAGTGGCTGTCCTATTTTAGAGGCTGAGGTCCCGCAAAACTTGCTTAATTGAACCAAAATTAATATTCTTCAAAAGCACGCATGTTACTGGTTCCTCACTGCTGCATTTAGTGGGAGATCTCCCTTCAGTAAGGTACATCACACAATACAAGTTAATAAAATGCCAGACAGCAAGACTGCGTTCTTTGTTTGCTCTGTTCAGGGCCTTGTGGAAAACAATAAATTGCATTCATGTCAGCCGAGGCCCATCCCTTTGCTAATTACCGTTTGGTGCTGAAATGACTTCTGTGAAATTGGGAGCATGAAGAAACACACAGCCGTACAAGGGAGGCTTTTCAGGCAGCGGCAGTAAATGTGAGATAGGCCTTAGGCACACAGATGTTGAAACAGTGAATTCCCCTACAGATTACACTAATGGAAACCCTGTCAGCGTAAGTCAAATCTGGGGTCTGTGGTCAAAATCTAATTAATGTTCCTGTACTTAAAAAGAATATGAATGCCTGGAGGTGATGGAGAACACATAAGAACCTTGCTTGTTTGTAAAATAGCTGGTGTGGATGGCAACCGCCACCGAGCCCTTCCTTAGGAGATAACACCTGCTAGAGGAGCTGCGTGCACTGCTTGCTGCTCGGTGTGGGGCTGTGGGCGCTGGGCTCAACCCCTCTTGCAAGTCCCGCACAAAAATGGCTCTTGGAAGCTGGCCCTCAGGGAATGTGGATAGTCATGGCTGTCAGTGAACTTCTCTTCGTTCAGCACGGCTGCTCAGAGTCAGCAATGCTGTTTAGGAGGTACCTGTAGCTGATGGCATAAGAAAGGACCAGCTCCTCTCTGTGCAAAGACAAAGACTCAGCCATCTATGTGGAGCTTGAGGACATTGCTGGGGCTCTTACAGCGCTTTCACAGCTGCACTGTGCATGGCCTGTGCAATAACAGAGGAAATGAATTTATAATGCAACAATCTCTTCGTTTTCACAAGCACAAAAATTCCCCTAAATACTTAAAATAACACTCAGAGTGGGACAGACCTTAAATTTTGAATAAATGAAACCCTAATCCAGTGTGTTGCTGAAACAAGCATGTTATTAAAGAAATAAATTTAAAACAGCAAGTGGCTTGAGAATTTTGGATTTAATTATTTAAATCTGCTTAAGATAACTCTCTAGCACTGTGTTTGGGTTTCCTGTTGAGAGCATGTTTTCTGGGAAAGGTATTCCACCCAGTGCCTTGGAAATATTAACTTTCTCATGCAACAGTGGTTTAAGCAGTAGAGACAAATAATTATAATAAGCAAGATATTATATGGCAACTTGGTGGTAGTTCTTTGATGCAGCCTGTCATGAAAACTGCACGGAGCCAGTCGTGTTTGGAGAGATCACCACTCTCCTTGGCTAAATGGAACATGGAGTGTGGCTCCAAATGCTCTTCAGGTAAAGAGTGTTTCCCTTAGTAATGTTACTTACTCAGCTATGATCAATAAAATCTGAACCAGCAGATTTGTAATTTTAAGCTAATTTGAAGTATTATATGTTATTTAATAGGTAAGTATTCCAAATCAGGCTGTTCATTACTGATTGCTATACTTTAGTTAAAAATTACTACTTCAGCTTTAGGATAGAAGATTGTCTCTTACTGCAGCATAGATCAAGATCTTGTCTTTGTGGGGCCATAACAGAAGCTTCCTGGATCCCGACAAGAAATATATGCAAACATGACCCGATCTGCACAAGACCTAGCAGAGGGATGAGAAACAGGGAGGTGTTCTTCATCCCCAGCCACAACCCAGGCACATGGGAATTCAGCTTCCCCAGCCAGGAGTGAGGAGGGGAAAAACCTCCAGCTCTGAGCCGTATTTCCTTCCCCTGGGCTTGTGCTGGGACAGAGGGATACAGCCACACTGCATGCTGGCTCACTCTCACCACTTGGCTTGGCTCCTGCAGTGCAAGCACACTGTATATATTCTGTGAAGATCAGGAAATGTGTTTTTGTGCTGAATATCCTCAAAAGTAATCATTTATGTCTTCAAGGCAGAATGCTTATCTTACCCATTCTCTTTTATTTGTTCTCTGCATTGTCTGTTTGCAGTACAGCTCTTGCAGGGGTTTACAAGCTAGTTTGGGGACCAGACTGTTGCTGAGTATTGCCAACACTCACTCTTGTCAGTTGTGTTGGCCATGGTGGCTCAAGTGCCACTCTCAGTCACAGGGATGAAGCCTTTTTGTTTTCCTAATGCTACTGAGGTTGCATTGGTGTAACTTAATTTGACCCTTCTGTCCTGCATATGAATGAGATCTTAGACTGTGTTCAGGTTTCTAGCCAAAATTTGTGGGCACAAAAAAGGGCAAGTTCAGACTTGGTATTAATCAAGTTAAATGGTTCAGTTGTTACTCAGAGGTCTGATGGTCAACACAGCCATGTCATTGTCTGAGCAAGAGCACCAACAACCGACTCAGGAGTTGGTGCTGAGTTCAGCTCTGTGTTCTCTAAAATTCACAACATGTGTAAGGATGCTGTTCAACCAAACCCCAAAGGATTTGCCTGGTTGTCCTCATTCAAGCATGCTCACTGATCTACCTAGTGATTATGAGCAACGCTTTCTTTTATAAATGTTTTTTGTTTTCAAGAAAAGGTCCTACAAATACTTTTTTCTTAAGCAGTAATATCTGTTTATGTGTTACATGAGGCAGATGTTGATTTAAAGCTTATTTCTTGCTTAAGATATTTTTCAGTCCACTGAGAGGGGTTGATTAGTGTCCCCTAGCTGAACCATTTTTTCCCTCTGTTGCTTTGACCCATTGATTTAATTAAGGTCTAATAAAGAGAGGGCTGAAAGATTGTTAAAAATCCTTTTCTTTTTTTTTTCCCCAGATCTGACCTATGCTGGTCTGTCAGTGCAATTTGACTCGCACATGGCGCCTTTAATATGCGAGCACACTGATACAAAGTTTGTCTTCTTTAGAGTCAGCTGGGGTTTTTTTCTCTCAGTGATAGGTCAGATTTAATTTTGATTTTAACCAAAGCAAATGCTTTTCTGGAGACCTTCTACTTCAGTGAAAATAAGTAATGAAAAAATAACCAAAACAAGTCACAGTATCAAAAGGAAAGACCTTCGAAAGCTTAGTGGTGACCCTTTCTTTCTTTGTTTCCTTTCCCATCCTCCTCTTGCCAGCATGGAGAGTGAAAGAGAAATGGAAACTCTGGGTTTGTTTTTCAATTAAGTAACAAGAATGACTCAAAGTTTAGGAAATGTAGTGGGGTTTTCATTGAAAATGCTTGCTACTTTTCAGCTTTTTGTTGTGCATAGGTCAATGTTATAGGTGTTAATGGTCAAAGAAATACTTCACAGTACTTGTCATATTGCTAGACTTCTGTTTTCCTTTCTCTTCTCCCACCAGCTCTGCACTCTAGGGTGAGAAGAGCTGTTCCCAGCATGCTAATCTTGCCACTGAGCAAGCTCACCTGTATCTTGTAAAAAGGAGATTACCATGAATGTTCACCCTCACCATAGTCTGCTTCTATGGCAGGAGAGGACTTCTGGTGCTCCCAGTGCTATCCTTGCTGATTGCAATGATACTCTTCAGAAGAATAAAAAAGGAAGATAAGCCCCAGCTGCAACTTCAAGGAATGGCTCAATGCTTCATTCATGGCTTGAAAGAACAGCATTGCTATCCACAGTGGCAGTTTGTGTCTATGAACCTTCTTAGATGGCTCTCATGCTCAGATTTCTGTGCTGCAGCTCATTAGCAGGAGAGCTGCCTGTGGGGCTGCAGCAGGTTTGTAGTACAGCAGGATGTGCACTAAAATAAAAATCAGGTTAGGAGTGGTGTTATCCCAGTGCTGCCTGGGCACTGGCAATTAAACCTGGATGAGAATAAAACACCTGGACTTTGTGACTCGAGGGATGAACGTTCTGCTTGCTGAGGGCTGTTCCTGCCCAAGAAAGCACTAAAACAGGTGTATAAATCCTACCTTGTTCAGTGGGATTTAGGCACCTGCTTAAACTTAAGTGCTTGTTTAGAGAGTTTCCTGAATGAAAGCCTGACAATTGTGCCCGAGAGTAACTTTTAAATTAGTTTTAATTTGCTCATCATAACCAGCTGTCATGAGTATGTGCGTAAAGAAAGGGTTTGATTCTGGAAAGACGAAAGGCTTTTCAGGACCTGGGCTTTTATGTACGCACCCTTGCTGGACAGCCAACCTGCTTTTATTGTGTGTTGCTCTGGGGTCCCACTGGAGCTGCAGTGCCAGCCCAGCCAACTGCCCTGCCAGCAGCTGACACCACCCACCTGCACCTCACCAGCAGAGTCCCATCAGAGGCAATCTGCAGGCTGCAGCAGAGGAGGAGAAAGTCCATGCTGTAGGTTAGTGCAAATGAAGGCTAGAGGAATGAGAGATGGGAAGAGGAGATTTCTGTCCAAGTGGAAGAGTTGACTGAACCTCCCACTTGAAAACACAGCAGTCCTTTTGTGCCACAGGAATCAGAAAGCTTCACAAGCTTTTTCTTTTAGGATTTTTCCCCTGCTCTATAATCCCTTCTTTGTTAAATAGAGTTTGAGGATAGACTTGAAAATAAATCTAATGTTACATTTACACCAATCAGTCTCAAAGGAAAAACAAAATCCAGCAAACTCAAATTACTACTTAATTCTGTATGTGCACATGTTTACATGCATCATGTACTTAAGACAAGCAGGACTGTGCCCATGTAGCTAAGAGTTATTTTATTTTTTTCCTTTAAATATGTGGTTAATTATTCAATGGATGATACCACTGCTGTGTACTCAGACTAAATTTGCAATTAAAACATTTTAAAGGCTTTCTTTTGTAGAGTCCTTAGGTAATTAAGCTGAAGTGCCAGAACATTTTATATATAAATGTACTGGAGCAGTGGTAGCTGATGTAGTAGTTAAGGTCAGGTAGAAACCAACCTTGCATTTAGAGTCTTTTTTTCCAGTATCTCAGTTGAAACCTCCCTAAATCTAAATTAATCTTCCAGAAATGTATGGGAAATTTGGTTTATGAGGGGAAAAAAAGGTCTTGCATTATTACCATAGTCTATCAGTCTTCCCTCAGTGTGACTCCATTCATTTTGGAATGCGTGCCTGTTCAGCATTGCCACAGCTGAACTTCAGAAGACTTTTGCTGAAACAAAGCATATCATAGGAACAGTCACGTTGGGTGCCTCCACCAAGGCAGGGGCAGGAGCTCAGCCCTGCCTGGCTGCAGTCCAGGGGGCTGGGGGCAGGTGTAGGGGAAGCCTTTGTGTGGCCCTCATCAAGGGACTTGGGGACAGCATAATGCTCAAGGTGGCAGTGACAAAACTGGGGGCAAACTTGGCTTCACTTCTGTGTCCTGCTGCAGTGCTGCTGTGGCTGTTCTGGTCCCCAAAATCCTGCTTGGGCTACAGCTTCCCTTTTTGCCTCCTGAAGCTGTTCCCTCCCTTGCAGTCTGTCTTCCTCTCCTTCTTGCCAAGAACACTGACTCCAGCCTGATCTGGAAGTTAATTTTAACAAATAACATCTTGGGCCAAGCCAAGTTAGGATCTGGAGATAGGACACACTCTGGGAAGGGAGCAGGGTGGGGTGGAGGGGAGCATGAACGCTCAGCCTTGTAATACGTGTGAGAGCTGATGCTCTCTGAGCAATTGAGTGCTTATTATTATTTCTCTTGGATAGGTCACCTGGGAGTGGAGGAATTTTTCATTTTAAATTAAAAAGAAATCTTTTATAATGCTCATTTCTAAAAGAAAAAAAAAAAAACCCTACCTCATCATGGAAGCAATTAGATGGAGGACACATTGAAAGGAGTGATTAGTTGTTAATTTTTGAGCTGTTGGCCCTGACAGAGGGGGTTTTTTGTCAAGGATTTCTTTTTAAGGTGTCTTTCATATGCCTATAGTCCAAGGTTACTTCTCATTCAATAGCAATTACCATATGTCCATTACATGCTGGAGACTGCTTGAGGTGGATACAGTGGTCCCCATCAGAGCATGGATCAAGTCAAAGTGCCAGCAGCTGTGTGAGCCACAGGATAATTGTTCCTATCTGTTTCTTCTCTTTTTCCAAGTTGCAGTAAATGTTCTAGGGAGTCACTTCCCCCTTCCTTGATGCAACCTGAAAGTGCAGCCCTCCAGTTTGCATTTCAGGTTCTAAGTCAGCCGTGTCAAGATTTGAAAAAGAACCAAGGAAGATAATGGGTCAGATGTAAGAAGTAAAACTACTGGTGAAAGAGGTTTTCTTTCTCTCTGCCCATCAGATTACAAACCTTAGCCCCACCTTCACTTAAAAAAAACTAATCTGTAACAGCAAACCCTGCATAACTGCTCTATTGTATCAGATGGAAACCAACTAACCAGACATCACAATACAAAAAAATACACTCATTGTACCTCAGAAAAATATGGGGCTGAAAACACAGGAAAAATGCAGTCTTGTTAAAATGTGGACATGGTCCAGTAATAGAATGAGTAGGGAAACTTGAATAGATCAGAGTCAAAAAACAGTCTGCTTAATTCTTGAGGTTTTTTATTTGCCATTCAGCTTACATCAGTGTTAACATCTACTGAGAAATGCAGCCATTTACAATTTGCAGTTCAATGTGTTACTTTAATTAGTATGAAAATTAAAGGGCAACTATAGGCCAATGTGAATGATTATGGAAATACATGTGCATCACATGCTATGCTCTCATTTAATTAATCGTCTTGTAAACTATATCAAGCACTTTAAGTCAGTTGCTGAGTATAACAACTCTATTTTAAATAACCACTTAATACTTAACAGGATGTGGAGAAAACACTAGCACACGACTGCTTCTCAAGTTTCAGTGTCTGAGATTTTTTTAAAGCTGACCCAAGTCAACCCAAAGAATGTTTAACACCCTGGGTCTGCACACAAAAAACTCTGTGATGTACAGACATTCAATTACATTTTTTAAAAAGTGAGAAACATTTTTCAGAATAGTGACTTTAGAAAACTAATTGGCAGCAGCAAACTTGAGAGTCAAAAGCCAAAAGCTAGAGGGGACCTTTTACTACAGTAACTCTAGTCAAGGAAAATGAAAATAAAGGCATCTTTGTTTCTCAGTCAAATTAGCTGATTAAGAAATAAAACATTTTAACATGCTTTAAATGCAGCATTAATTATTTATATGTAAAAAAATTAAAGCCAGGTTCCATGAATTACACTTTGTGTGTGTGAATTGAATGTTACGGGAATACTAATCCTTTTACATTCATGCCTTACTTCATTAGGCAAAACTAAATATTAAGGGCTCTATTCATTCAAAAAATTCTTATGCATTCAAGTCACACCTTTTCTATGGTTTGTTTTTTTTAAGGAGTATGATTTATAGCACTGATTTTAAAGTATGATTCAGAAAAAACTATCTACTTCTACAGGATGGGCTCTAGTAAACGGATACATTTACAAGAGGCCAAGGATACAGTGGTGGATCTTGCTTGTCATTGGTGAAAAAGTCCAGAGTAAGTCATATTGTATGGTCTCAAAGCTGGTGTAACTAGGAAATCAGATGCATTACTTGCAGGGAAGCTCTGAAATCTCTGAACCTTTTTTTCCAATAGATTGGTTAATAACAATTCTCCCTCCTAATTTATTGTTTCCAGTGACTGGGCAGTACTTTATTCAGGTGAATGAAAAAAAAAAAAGGTGATTTACTCAAGCAAATGTGTTCAGGGATGTATTTTTCTATTTTCCATCTATGTCCATTTTAGCAATGGTGTGTCCCATGCTTGGCTCCCTGGGGGGAAAGTCCATCCACTGATCTGTGGGATGTGATTAAACACCCACTAGGACTGAAACTGGGACCATCAAAATCAGTTGTCTGCATTTTTTTGAACATGGACCCATGAGTTAAAAAGCTTGTGCATTAATTAATTGTTTTGCTAACACTTAAGTGAAAAGAAATAAGAATTGAACTCTGGCTTGTTTCAGCTTCTTTCCTTGGGTGTTTTGTTGCTGTTGTTTTTTTACTGACTGAAGAGAGGAACAGCTAGAACTGTGCAATGATGATCATGTTGAACTTTCAAAATAATTAGAGGATTCACTTAACATTAAAGTAATAACTTTAAAGGAGAAGGGTTTGGGGAAGGAGAGAGAGAGAAAGGGGAGAGAGAGGTGGAGTGGAAAGCAAGAAATTATAGAAAAAGGGTTGCCCAGAAGCTTGCAAATTGTCAGCTGGCTGAATTTAAATAAACTTATGGGAAACAAAATACTGGGAAGTAGGACAAGGTGTCAGATGGTTGCATAAGATTGATGTATTTAATAGTTCAGTTAATACAGATCAACATCTGCCTTTAGTTACATCTGCACAACCCCCTGACTTCAGTACTGTTGTACTTTTGCAACCAAGTTTGGACTGATGTTTTTAAATAGGCCCCAGTGCAGAATATCTGCAGAGAGCCTGCGGTGCTCAGTGCTGGTGTAATCAGGCAGCTCTGGAGAGAAGGAGTAATACAATATGTTATTGTTTCTCATGTAATTTTTAAAATACATTGAGGAGTAATATATTTTTTATAATAGGGTGCTCCCTGTCTCTTTAAGCAACTGTCAGATGTAGGATGTCCTCGTGCCAGAATGCTACGGTCTGTTCCCTCTGTGCAATTGTTAATTAAATCCATCCCTTATTGTAGAGCCTGCCTAGTCTCTTACCCATTCTGCTTATCTGTGATACCAGATGATGCTCAGTAATTCATGGCCAACCTGCT